TCATGTGACTTCTGACCAAGCTCCTCCAGTACAGTTACAATACTGGCATTTACCCAACGATGTGGAAAATTGGCAAGGTATGCCCTGTACATAAAAAAGGACAAATCTGACCAGCCACTTATCGTCCCATCAGTCTACTCTCAATCATCAGGAAAGTGATGAAAGGTGTCATCAACAGTGCTATCAAACAGCACCTGCTCAGCAATAACTTGCTCAGTGACATCCAGTTTAGATTCTACCAGGGTCACTCAGCTCCTGACCAAATTATAGTCTTGGTTCAAACATGGACAAAAGACCTGAATTCCAGAGGTGAGGCGAGAGTGACAGCCCTTGACGTCCAGGCTGCACTTGACTGACGGTGGCATCAAGGAGCCATAGCAAAACTGGAATCAGTTGATATCGGGGGCAAACTCTCTGCTCTTTGGAGTCATACCTAACAAATAGGACGATGGCCATAGTAACTGGAGGTCGGTCATCTCAACTCGAGGCAATCTCCCCACGAGTTCATCAGGGTAGTGTCCTAGGCCCAATCATCTTCAGCTGCTCCATCAATTACCTTCCCTCCATCATAAGATCAGAAGTGGGGATGTTCGCTGATAATTGCACAATGTTCAGCACCATTTGTGACTCCTCGGATACTGAAGCAGGCCATGTCCCAATGCAACAAGAAATGGACAATATCCAGACTTGGACTGACAAGTGGCAAGTAACATTCACACCACAGAAATACCAGCTATGGCTATCACCAACAAGAAACAAACTAATCACTGCCTCTTGGCATTCAATGTTATTACCAGGCAGCACCTTCCACACCTACAACCACTTCCATCCAGAAGGGCTGCCGATTCATGGGAACACCACCACCTACACAAGTTCCCCACCAAGCCACTCACCATCCTGATTTGGAAATATAATCACCATTCCTTCACTGCTGCTGGGTGAAAATCCTGGAATTCCCTCCCGAATGGCATTGTGGGTCAACCCACTGCAAGTGGACTGCAGCTGTTCAAAAAGGCAGCTCATCTCCACCTTTTCAAGGGAAACAAGGGACAGGCAATAAATTCTGACCTTGTAGTGATGACAATATCCCACGAATGAATTTTAAAAACTGCTTTAGATATATTGGTCCAGGGCCTACTAAATTTATTAACTATTGGTTTCCCGAATTTTTCTTTGATTGCACATTCTGAGAATTAGCACCAATGCAGAACAACACAGACCTATAGATTAACAATGCTAACTGTAGCACTGAGATTGGCAGTTTACGATGTACATTCATTGATGTAATAAAAGGTAAGTGGCAACGAGTTGCTAAGCCAATGATCCACACCTTCCCAGTCTTTACTTATCTTCTCAAACTTAATGTACGATCCATGACCAGAATATTCATTCAACTGAGAGTTAACTTAAATTCTCCATTGCAACAATTATGTAGGTTTTCTGGGAAAAATGGCACCTGAAGAATCCAATGATTCACCAATGCAGATTTTTCCAACTACATTTACCAACTCTTATCCATACTGTATTGTTAAATTTGAATTATGGAAAAAAAAAGTTATACATTAATTCACTACAGACACTTCTTGGACATATTCTTAAAAGTATTATTACACTTGGGATTTCTCCAGGCTCTAAGCCATTTTCTCCACTCTCTGTTTCGCTAGTTTCCTCCTCTGTGGAGACACTGCTAGTTTCACGTCGTTTCCAGCAGCTCTGTTCAGTATCTGTGGCAATATTATCAAATGATTTCTGACATATTTTGGCCTTCTCATGGAACGCATCTTCCTGTTTACACGTCGGTGGATCCTTGGCTGTGCTGCTGTCCATTTTAATGCCAACATTTGTACGTTCTGAAGAATTGTTGACTGCACCAAATGTATCCATTGATGTTAGTGATAAACTGTCATCCAGTTTTCTCTTTCCATTACCTTTATTTTTGCATTTGGTGCTGGCAAGATTGGTATCAGTCTCTGTGCAGAGAAAAAAAAAACACATTGATATGAATTGTTACATGAAGCTAAACCAAATGTTAACTGCATAACTAAAGACTATACATGTTCTGTACTTACTGTAAAGGGATATTGTTTTCACCACTTCAAGTAACTATTTCCGTAAATCAGCAATGAACCATGGCAGCTGGCAGAAAGCCAGTGAAATAACTGAAGTCATTAAAATGTTGAAAAAACGAACATAGAGGGAACCCTAATTATATTATCTGGCATGAATGCAAAAAAAAAAATCAACTGTCATATCAGCGTGCATGACAGAACGGTTGCAGGGTACTCAGCCTACAAATTTCAAACAAGAGTGCCTTCAGGTGTCCTATCTCAAATTTCTAGCAAGTACCATGGACGAAATACAGGCCTACAAGGAGTGATGTCGAAATCTGCAAATCATATCAAAATAGCAGTACAGTTAATTCCTCACACAACAAAACGAAACAGCGAAATAAAATCAAAATGATGGGGCAATGAATAAAGGGTGGGTCTTCCGCTCTTGTGATAACAAGATGTGGAGCTGGATGAACACAGCAGGCCG